CACGAGCCATTTTCCTCAGTTCAAGGTGTGTATCGATCTCGCAGGCTAGTTCGAGAATGAGGGGAAAAGAAGGTCACCACAGAAGGGGAAATCCCCCGTCTTGGGATGGGACAGGCGTCGGGTAGGGTAGGACGTCTGTGCGAACCCGATTGATAAAGCAATGGATAATCCACATAAAGCAAATATATTAGGGATACTTTTTCTACTTGCTCTAAAGTAGTACACGTTTTTTTTGTTTTTTTTAATTTTTTACTCACTCGAGGCGTTATAAGGCCTGGTGGCAAGTATTCTCACTTACCATGTCTGAATGCAAAATAATAATGATCACAATCCCCCCCAAAGTTGTATTCAAATTTTGTTTTAGGAGGGATACACACACCCTTTTCCCTTCATCGCACTCCATTCGTCCGCCTACCGTTTTCACATATGTTTTAGCGTAATCTGTTATGTTGATGGATATATCCCCCTCAAAATGGACTTTACCCAACTTTTTGATCAGTACTTGTATAGTTATTATGAAGGAATTCCCCACCAGGTCTCCTTTACAGTACAGGAAAGCATTATCTCAGACAAGATATAGAGTTTAATATTGCACAAAAAAAAATACAGGGCCGAAGGAAAGTAACATGTGGGTATAAATAAATTACTAATAATAAAAATAATAATGTGGAAATATAAAAGGAAGAACGCACTCAATATATTAAAAGAAATAATAATGAATATAAATTTTCAACACAGATAAACCGTTAAGCGATTTTTTTCACTCTTTCTCCTGACTAAAAACAACAACTAAGGATCATAATCTAACGCTAAGCAATATGCTGCTTCAGTCAGATATGGAATTATTCCACTTACAGAAGTCATCAATCGCGCTCGAGAGCTGACTCAAGTCAGTAGTGAAGATAATTTTATTGCCTTGTTGTTTGCTATTTAGGATAAAAACAGCGGTCTGTCCCCACAGATCTCTTGAAATCTCATAGTGATATTTATCAAGGATCCATCGACTCCACTTATCAACCAGATCTCTATTATTGGGGAAAAACACCTTCCATGCCTGTACCGCGCGTACCGCGGGCATCCGACGATTGTTCTCGCCGCGGATAAAATCGTAAAGGAAGTTGTACATGGAGTAGAACTCTTCTCTATTTTCCTGCACGATGCGGACGGATTCGTTAATGTGGTCCTTGAGTTGCGATAAGACCATCACGCCAAAGTTAAAAACCAGCAAAAGCCACTCGCTCCGGCTCACACAGCCGTCCCGGACGGCCCGCAGACGCCAGATGAGCGTAAACATCTCGAGTGAATTCGGTTTAATCCCGAGATCAAGGCAGAGCTGCTCGATCCCGCGCGCGTAAATGGCATCCCCGCTATCCCCTTTGTCGAGCTTTTTCAATCGGTCGAAGATCAATTCCATCTCTAGTTTGGCCCCGCGCGTGAAATTCACATTGGTGTTATTCGTCACGATGGTGACCGTTTGGGGGGTTTTAATGGAAGGTGTGTTGTTCGTGAACGACTTGGAACTCCGCAGCGTGTCGGAGGATTTTAATATCGAGACTCGCGGATGCTTCTTACTCATCTCAAAATTCTTTTTTTATTATTACAATACAATCGTTAGTACTATTATTTTAAGGATATCCCCCCCTCCCCCCCCTACCTCCAGTGGAAGTCTTTGGGTAAAAGTAATGGCGAATAATTTTTCCCACCTTAATACAAGAGAATACACGCCTAAGATTAAACCAGCAAACCAGCGAAACGGATGAAAGAAATCCCTTTCTGATAAAAATATTACTTATCTTTGTGTGTAAAGCGAATTTAATAGAAAAGGAGAATCAATGTGAAAAAATCAGTCTTGCATTAATAATCTCAAACAACAAAGATTTAACAAAATTCCACCCTTCTCCTCAACACACACACATAAAACCAAAGGCATTGAAAGGTTAAACACTTATTAAATGCTTGCTAGCGCATGCGAAGAAAATCACCGCCAACTCGTAGGTTTGAAGGAAGGTTTAGCGTATAACTTTTTTATGTTGAACAGTATACAGCTTTCTTATGAATAAAACCGCTTACGTTTAGTCTAAAAGGTTTGAATACCTTTGTGAATGACATGATACTTATTCGTTAACAAGGAAGTAATAAATTCTAAATATTATCCAAGTTAGCGCCTTGTTGTTTTTGTTCTTCCTAAATGGACCTAAAACGCACTCCAAGCGGAATCCTAAACGATATTATCTTGGGGTTCTTCCCTAAATTAGTTAGCCTTCGCTGACGGTAATGCCATTCATCTCGATAAGTACATCCAGAAGGGATTTTAACTCGAGAAGGGTATCCCGTGTTAGGGTGTTGGACTTGCTCTGGAAGATGATGAACTCCTGGATGATGGCCACGATAACCCTCATCGGATTGTGTGCATATTTCTTCCCTAGTGCGGCGTCTTGGAAAGCCCGCGTGAGGGCCGCGATGACGTTGGCGCGAAGGGTGTTCGTCTCCTCGGCCTTTTCCAGCTCTACGCAGAAGAGAAACGCCAAAAAGATGGCATAATAGCCGCTCAACACGGTATCCGCGGTGCTTTCACTATAATATCGGGCGATCATGGCAGAGGCGGCCGCCCGATCGACCCCCCCGTCGCTCACCAGCGCCAACGCGAACTCCGGCGGGGTAATCGCCTGTTTGACCTCCCACTTCAGGATATTAATCGCACAGCATAGGGAGAAGCAAATCTTCTCCTCCTCGCCGCTGGGGGCCCGCAAAACGCCCCGGAAGTAGGCGGCGAGGCGAATTCGCTGCGGGGTTGAAAGAACGCCGGCCCGGACGCTGGTGAGGTTGGTGAAAATGCGCAATACGGCCACCCTCTGGGCGTCGGTGAGGTCGACCGGGTGGTTGTCGGCTTGTACAAGGGCGTGTAGAAGTTGTTCGGCCAGGCGAGGGAGTCCGTCATCCGCGAGGTCGGCCAAAGAGGCGGTGGT